CAACACACCAGGAAACACAGTGTATATATATATAAACCTTCCCTGCCTAATATCTTCTATTTACACACCAGCAGCAAACTACGCAGCCGACACCAAACCTTATAGCGCATTCTCACTGCTTGGCTCAGGCCAAGCCGGCGACGTCTAAAGCCAAGCCTGGGAAGAAGGTGGAATTGCAGGAGTGGGGTTAGCAGGTATCCTTTCATCATATTTTATGCTTTTTGGAGTGGTTTGGCCAGTTGCCGGATTCTATATATATATATATTTATATAACTATGTACTGGTATGTCCAAGGAGCGCAATTGATAGAATATTTGATTCTCGGATATCCTCTAATGTGCATGAATTTCTTCTATCTATACAGCACACCTGTTGCCTCTCACGTTGCAGGAAGCTAAGCAACCGACGACGACTGCAAAGCAAACGAAGGCCGGCTGCTCTTTAGGGCGGCGTTTTAGGAACGCGTCTCACTAACCATTTGATTGTTTGTTCTAATTTCTCTTGGTGTGCCTGCCAGCAGCCTTTCCGTGAAGCAAGCGCTGGGTATGGTTGATACTTCGGTAGTCTGGGCCTTGTGAGATGGCGGGAACGTTTGAGCGCTCTTTGCAGTTTTGCTCTGGCAGCCTGAACATCGAGGAAGATTCTCAGCAGCCGGAGGAGTCTGGCACCAGCCTGGAAGGAAAGGGGATTGAGGCTTTTGTGCCTGCTGTGCAATCTTACCCTTGTGCAGGGGCCTTCGTTGCGGGAGATTCACAGACAACGGAGGTTGGCGGCCATGTTGAGACAGCTGAAGTCATGAACAGCTTGTGGGATGATTCCCTGCAACCAGAGTCCCAGGCCGCCAGTGTGGTGTCCACATCACGCTACTTGACAACCACTCCAGAGATTCTCAGTGCTTCGCTGCGAATCCAAATGGCATTGCTGAAGGAGATGAAGTCTTTGAACAGCAAGATCAGCAATCTCGGACCCATCAGTGCTTCCCCCAAGAGAAAAAGGTCTCGCTCCCGATCTCCAACAAGAGGTGGCAGTTGAGATGATGCGAGAGATGGACGATTAGTGTGAGCGGCTGCATTTTCTCACACTTATATAGTGCTGCCAGTTTGTAGTTGCTTTGTGGCGTAATCTTCCCCAACCCTCGCCTCCAGCAAAAAAGATTTTGCGAACTCTGAAGCCGTCTTCATCTTGGGTGAAATCACTGGTAGAGTCAGTTTGGTGATGAATGCTATATATATATATATGTATGAGCTTTTCTATTTTCCTGACGTGCGTTGAATATCTTCTATATATACGAGGCAAACATTTCGAGGGTGGCTGAAGTCACGGTGATCCAGGCATCTAAGCAGCCGACTCCAGAGTCAAAAGAGCCAGCAGAATCGCCCACAGCGCCAAAGGTGCAACGATCGGGTGTGGTGATGCGCTATTATCCTCTAATGTGCAGTAATTTCTTCTATCTATACAGCACACCTGTTGCCTCTCATGTTGCAGGAAGCTACACAACCAGCCGGAGAGCAGACGAAGGTCGGCGACCCAGAGCGGAAGCTAGAGCTTTAACGAGCCTACAGCACACCCAAGGTGGTGACACCCAAAGCCAAGACGGGGAAGGAGTATATCCTAAGCTTTTGAGATTGGTTTTGCCGGTTGCAGGATTTCTTCTATACATATATATATGTTTGTGTCTTGAAGCCGTTTCATGTTGCAGGAAGCTACACAGCCGACTGCAGAGTCAAAAGAGCCAGCAGAATCGCCCACAGCGCCAAAGGTGCGACGATCGGGTGTGGTGATGCGCTATGAATATCTTCTAAACATGTGGCGCATGTTGGACATCATGGACGTTCGGTGTGACTGGCTGTTTTTCTATCAGCAGTACAGTGCAGCTGTGCAGCTAGCTAGACGGCTCTTTGATTTTGTTTGCTGCAAACACAGTGTGTTTATATTCAATATGTTGTTAGTTTAACTCTCAACCATCCGAGTACAATATCTTCCATTTACACACCAACAGCAAACTACGCAGCCAACAGCAAGAGCTAGGGCCTTCTCACTGCTTGGGTCAGGTCATGCTGGCGGCGTCCAAATCCAAGCCGGGGAAGAAGTTGGAATTGCAGGAGTGGGGTTAGCAGGTATCCTTTCATCATTGTTTATGCTTTTTGGAGTGGTTTGGCCAGTTGCCGGATTCTATATATATATATATATATAACTATGTATGTCCAAGGAGCGCAATTGATAGAATATTTGATTCTCGGATATCCTCTAATGTGCAGTAATTTCTTCTATCTATACAGCACACCTGTTGCCTCTCATGTTGCAGGAAGCTACACAACCAGCCGGAGAGCAGACGAAGGTAGGCGACCCAGAGCGGAAGCTAAAGCTTTAACGAGCCTACAGCACACCCTGATATTTGCTAAGGCTAAGGCCAAGGTGGTGACACCCAAAGCCAAGACGGGGAAGGAGTATATCCTAAGCTTTTGAGATTGGTGTTGCCGGTTGCAGGATTTCTTCTATACATATATATATATATGTTTGTGTCTTGAAGCCGTTTCATGTTGCAGGAAGCTACACAGCCGACTCCAGAGTCAAAAGAGCCAGCTGAATCGCCGACAGCGCCAAAGGTGCGACGATCGGGTGTGGTGATGCGCTATGAATATCTTCTAAACATGTGGCACATGTTGGACACCAGCAGGCCAAGAAGGCAGCAAAGAGAAAGCAAACAAGTGATGCAGCCGAGCAGGTGCTAGGGGGGTTCACTGTCGTGGGAGCACATAGATAGTTATATATATACACCTACGCAAGCGCCCATGACAGCAGTATAGGATTCAATTTGATGCTCGGGGCCCCCGCGATTCAGGAGAAACATGTGCGGTTGCAGCTCACTCACGAGTGGTGGCAAGCTATCACTTCTGGGAAGAAGAGATGGGAGTTCAGGGCTGACAGCAAATATTGGAGACCTCGCTTGGAGAATGCCACCCACATCATCTTCTGTCGAGGCACTTCGGTTTGGATGGCTTTTTGATTCTGTAAAAAAAAGCTTTATGAAAGAGGCCCTAACCTTTTCTATTCCTTTATCCTTTGTGGATACTGACCTCAATGGTGTCTTCAGCAAGGCTTGCCCCCCTTCTCGGGTGCGGCCCCACATATATATATATATATTTCAACCGTTGAAACCCCGTTGCAGGATATAGCAAGGTTGCTCTTCCACCGAAACGCATCCTCCGGAAAGAGGTCATGACAGTTGATGATGCCCGGAGCAATCTGAATATGCCGGATGGTCCTTGGGCGCAGGAAGAGTCCGTCATAGCGATGAATTTTGAGGCGGTCGACCCCAGCGAGGTTCCTAAGGACTGCTGCTTCCTTTGAATGGGCATGACGTGTAACCACCCTTCAAGTATGGTTGACAGGAGATTTGCCTCAATATGTGTGTTTTTTTGTTTTGCCTTGTCTTTCTGTTGGTTTACTGTTTTTGTTGTCTAATTCCTTTTTTAAAGCCACCTTCAAATTTGGTATGACGGGAGGAAGCCAACGAGAAACTACAACAGAGGTTGCAGAGCTTTCGTGAGCAGTCCGCCAAGATATCCAATGACATAGCGGAGGGTGATGCGATTGATATGGATCTGCTTTTCAAGCCTTCGGACGACCGGAAGGTGAAAGACCCCAAGGAATTGAAGGCCTGCGGTGTTCTTGCATTTTTTGCAATCCGGCTTCCTTTCCTTCTTGTCGGTCCGTATCAGCATTCACAGGTTTTTGTTCACGGTTGTTGCAAACAATTGCAGCAAACATGTGAATAGAAGATATTATATATAAATATTTTATATATGTATGAATATATATTTTGTGGAGCACCAGGCCATGAAAGAAAGACCAATTCAGCTTCCAGCCCTTCTTTTGCGCCAATTTTGTGAGTACGCTTTCCGCCATTCACCCCACGAAGTCATGGGCTGGATAACGGGCACCATTGAGACCAAGAAGGGCGTTGGCCATTCCATTGTATACTGCAACGGATTATTCCTGCCGCTGCAATCCGGCACCAACTACTCTGTGCAAGAGCCAAAAACCGGCGACGCCCCACAGGAGATGTTGGCGCACCTGGAATCGACAAGCTCTGTGATTGTCGGATGGGTACACAGCCATCCGACATTTGATGCTTTTTTTCTCAACAGTGGATCAGCACATGATGTGGCTGCTTCAGAGAGAGTCCCCGCAATCCTTCGGGATTGTAATCGACAAGGATCGAAAACCAAGAGTTCTTCGATTGACCGATGCTGCCATGGAGGAGGTCAAGTGCTGCTTTCAGGACGACTCTCCCATGTTTCCGTGCTTTTCTGCGAGGATTCTCCCCTAAGAAGGAAGCCCCCAACCCCCAAAAAACACTTACAGATCTTACAGTCAGTATGTTTAAGAGGGTTGCGAAGCATGAGGGTTGCGAAGCATGTTTGCAGTATATATAGAAGATATCCAGATGTGGATGCAAAACGCCACTGTCATCTGTGAAGACTGGAACATGGCTGTGGCAGGAAGGATTTCACGAACACAGCATCTCCAATGAAGATGCGGTGGTGGATCTTGAGTACTACATCCATCACAATGGTGCCCGCAGCCGACTGGTGTTCCACAACCAGAATTCTGCCTACAAGACGCTTGGCTTTGTTTTGCTTCTGTCAAACACTGATGTAAAGTTGCTTGACATATAGAAGATATTGATGTTTTCTTGATGTTTTAAGGTACTCGGTGCTCTTCTTTTTTTTCTGCAGTAATTTCTTCTTATTATACACACCCGCAATTTGATTCATTAACATGGAAGTGGAAACTTGTCCCTTGGAGGACTACGTTGCTTGACAAACAGGAGGCTGTCCACTCCACTTCCATATTATATATATATATAGTTCATTGGAGTGTATGCACCTATGTATACAACCGTATGTGGTTATGTGGCTTTTTTCTTCAAACCTTACCCTCCATGCTATGTCCAATATCTTCTATTTGCACGCCCACAATTTGATTCACCTGAGGGCCCAAGATGAATTTGCAGCTCTGGCCCAGGGGAGACTCCAGAGAATGAAGAGCCGGGAAGAACCAGAAGGCAATCAAAATGCCGAGCCGGAGCCTGAAGAAGATTTGGATGATGATCCTGTCCCAGGTCCTCAGAAGAAGCTGCCTCGGGTGACAAATAAACCTGGCATGATGCAAACGCTTGATGAAGCGGGAGAGATTGTACAGGATATCTACAACTTCATGCTTGAGGAGTTGATGGACATCGTGGCAACCGACCCCCCATGGCGCAGAGAAGAAGCTGTCAACAAAATTGGGACAGTATGCTGGTTCCAACCAAGTGGTGCAGAACATCTTAGCGCTGTCGAACTTCAAGAACGGTGCTTTTGAAGGACCAGTGAGTTGGAGTTCCTTTGGAAAACAGATCAGAGAGGCTAATGAGACCATCAACTCACTCAAGACTGAGGTGCGGAGGCTTCCAAACGCAAGGGGCGCTGGCAGACCATTTGGAACAAAGAACCGGAAGAGAGCGTGTGACGCTACCACAGCCAAGGCAAGCAAAAAGCAAAGGACCAAGGCTGAAGAGAAGGGAAAGGGAGATGAGGATGAAGAAGCGGAGCCCATGGATCCAGACGATCCAAACGAGGACGCCTCATCCAACAAGACCGTGAACAAATCCCAATCGATCAACTTGCATACGAAGTGCATGATTGTCGAGTATGCCTTGGATGCGCAAGAGAAAGGTGAAGTTGCCTCAGTGGAGAAGCACGTAATGGAGAAATTCAAGAAGTATTTCTATTCCGTGGAGAAGAACCGCTTCAAGACCGGTTTGTTGTCAAAATGGGTGGAGTGCCCGGGATTGACAGAACACCTTTTGTTGCCAGTACCCTGTAGGGACTTTTGAAGGCTCATCAACCTGTTCAAAAATGTACGCGCCCACCACTGCGTCAAAACGTGTAATTTCTTCTATTCGCATGCTCAGTGTGATATTCCTCCCTCTCCAGCATTCTGGAATTGGCAGGTCCTATCACCGGGAGGAGTGGGGCAAGATCCCGTGGGACCATATGACTGTGTCTGATCGACATTCCATCAAGCAGGTGCCGAATTGGGTGCGGAGGGCCATGGGTCGCGAAGAGCGCTTTGTTTGTGGACATGAACGACATGTTCCGTGGGAGGTTGAGACAGCCTTGAACGAGATCTTGGAACCCTGTCCTCACGAGTTTTTAGAGTGATGAGTTTTGCAGGGCTTCAATCCGGAGAGGCTGCAAACTGATATTCTATATGTTTCATTTTGGTGTCACTGATGTATATGCAGTAGATTGTATATAAATATTATATACATATGCAGCATATACATCTGTAAAGAACACAAAAGCAACCCATGTCCTATTGAAATCTGGAGAGTGAGGAGAGACTGATTGGCGGCCCAAGTCGAGACCTACAATCGTGCTCAACGGTTAAGACTCCGTTGTTGTTGGACACCGCCAACGACCTCTTGGATTCCTTTGTGGAACATTTTGAGAAGGCGTGCAGATCGGAAGACGTCCCCGCAAAGGGAGTCAGAAAAAAACGTTTCTTGGGATACGCTTAGGTTTTGGACACTTGTGAGTTTTCCCGTGAAGATGACAATTGGATAGAAGATATATATATAATAGTAGCTATGATGATACCGCCCACTATATAGCTTCAAGTCTCACAAATATGTTTGCATGCTGCGTTGAAAGTTCTGTGGCCCAAGGTTTGCAAAAAAATGGATCGTTCGCTTCATGAAGAAATGGCAATGGTCCTACCAAAACAGCAACACCAAGGGAGCATTTTTGGCAACTACTTCCATCGAGATGGAAGAAATGCGCAAAGCGCACCGGATGCAGCGAGCAATGCTGGGTGTTGACTGGCGCTTGGTTCTCAACTTTGACCAGCTATGGAAGGGATCCTATGACCCAGCCAAGCGAGTCTTGCATAAGTTGAAGCACCGCAATGCCGTAAAGGACAACCTCAGGCCGGATGATGCCAGCAAGCTCAAGGTCATCAAGGAGATGGTCACAGCAGAGGCCTTGCAGAACATGAGCTACCCTTCAGGGAGTCGGGCCAGCAAACTCCGCAAGGGCGTTCCGAGGACCGTTTGCCTGACCATGTTGCTTTCAAACATCTTTGGGGAGAATCTTCTATTTGGAAGACTTGTTCTTTTTCTATACTGTAGGCAAACGAAATATATTGTGCCAGCATCATGTGTGCCTTTGTTGGGAGGACGGACTTCGTGGTCGG